CGAGAGAAAACGAGTGTGTGTGTGTGTGTGTGTGTGTGGCAAGCCACAGAGGAAGGTGCTTGAATGTATTACAGTTAGTTTTATAGCTTTCTGATCCTAACCTCACGCTCTTCCTCTGTGGTCGGCTATCACTCCCACAATACATCCTGCAGATTCTACCGTTAAATCCACTCTAGCATTGACTTAGATGCTTGAAACAGATAATTATTAATAAAATAAATAATTTAAATTAATTAAATAAAAGCCAAAATTGTAACTTAGTTTTTGTAAGTATTTATGAATGTAATTTTACCCTATAGGATAACTAAAAGGAAGTAAATTTAGTGTTAATGATCTGCACTGATAGAAACCAGTTGAAGGGAAAGATACATTACAACGATGGTGTGATGTTGTGTACATAAAACCGACTTTATTATTTCTGATTGATGTGTTTCACATTAAAATACAGTCACAGAACAAACACAACAATACACAAACACACACTGTAATAAAAAATACAATAAAGGTGTTAATACGCCGCAGCAGCAACAAAAGAGAAAAGACATTTAAAAAGAAAAAATAGAAACATGTTCAGCTGTTTAATGGTTCTCAAGTCAGTACGACTCATACAGCGTCTGCAAATGGGAGACTCGTCGGTACCGTAGAACCCGTTTACATTCATACATCTTGAGGTCAGAGGTCATACTGGAGGATGTTTGTGGTGAATGTTGGAACTGGCGTTATACAGAAAAGATGTTTTTTGTTGTTTAGTCAAACCCTCGTTGATATAAAAGGACAAAAGTTAGTTCAGTGAACCAAAAACTAGAGCTGCACCATCCGGTAAAAACATCACACTGACATTATTTTCCTTTCAGATCCGTCAGAAACCGTCTCCAGATGTTGCTCCGTCCTCCCTCTGAGCCTCTTCATACAAATCTCTGAGAGAAAACAAAAAGAAGTTTGTTAAAAGACGAGTCTGTTTCTTAAAGCTAGCTAATGTGCTGATGTGTCAGTCCTGGTTTTACTGTGTGACTTTGAAACACAGACATCAGACATCCAGCACTGATCACATCCATTCACAGTGAAGAACACAGACATTTAAACACTAAACTAACATGTTCACAACAACACACAATAAACACGTAACACGGGCAGTAACACAGTATTCAGTATTTGAATATCACTGCAATAAACAAAGCACAACAGAACATCTGGCAGCGTGTTGTAGACCAGCAGTGAGCTCTCAGAAGAGGTCCAATCAGCTGGTTTTCCTCATTACGGGCTCAAGTTCTGCATTAGTGAGCTTCATTCTTATAACTAACATACAGGTGCAGAGGTTTAAGATGCAACACATAATTAAACAAGTCTTTAAAGTTTACTGACCAAGTCAATTTGATTGGTCTTGACGTGATACATGTCACGGGGCTGCTTTATTTTTAAAATGTAGTTACAACAAGGCGTTTTAGTGTATATATTGATTTTTCGGTGCCACGGACTCGCTGCTCGGGCCCTAAATATACTATTACTGATATAACTACACTACTTTTATCACTTTTTAGGAGCTCTATCTGTTAAACTATGTTACTGGGTTTTGTATAAGTGAGTTCACAGTCTCCATATGGTGAACATACTGTTACTTTCAGACAGGCTGTCCACTAATAGCAGCTTAATTATGTTTAGTGGCACTTCAAGAAACAATAGTGAAAACACACTTACGGATCAGAACCAGAACAACGAGAACGTAGAGAGTAACAACAGCAGCAGTAACGTTATGAGGACGAGCCGCATTCCTGTTCCCAACATCTGAAAGAATATCAGAGAAGAAGTTCAAATGAAGACGTTGAATAAAATAAAAGCAGCTTTAAAATGTCTGTTACTACAAACAGCAAGAAAGTAGAAAGCTCTGTATAACATTGAGAGCAGTGAGCTTCAGCCTGTGGACAATAACAGTTTGAGGCCCAAAGAGGTCAAAATATCTGACAAATGTTAAGAGAATTAAATGTGTTCATTATGTAAAAATGCTCAGATTGAATGTTCAGATCAATGCAGCACATTTTCACACAGTCAGAAGATCTCAGAGAGAATAAAGAGAATGTATTTACTGGGATTGTTTGGCTCGTCTTCCTCT